CCTCTAAGCTTACATTTCTGGTTAGAATGCTCTTCATATACTTCCTCAAAGTCGGGATGATCATACAAGCATCAACAAAGGGTAATCGTACGGTAAGTTGGCTTACAAGTTCTTTTAGCATAGCTTGCTCCTTCTCCTTCTTCGGCTTTTTCAAAGCACTTGGGAATGGAATCTTAGGCTTGTAAAAACGAGTTACCACTGGTGGAATCTCGACTTCTTCTTGAGTCTCATGGTCAACTTCTGTACTAGGAGCTTTATCTTCTTCTAATACTTCTATGACAACATCATCACCGATTTCTTTTGGCATTAACACCTCGTCTAGTTGTGTTCCACTTCTCAATGTCATGGTGATATGTCCCATATTTTACCTATATTACTATCTATTTTACTATATTTTCTATACTTATCTACGGTTTTATGCCTTTAAAGGTAGTTTTTCTCGTATTTGTAGTTTTAGAGTATTTTCAGGGAAATCAAGCAAAAAAGATCTAAAAGAGCCAAAATAGGTGTAAACCAAACCACAACAACTTTCACAAGCCAAAGAAACCATCAAGAACCAAGATTTCACAAGAAACAACATTCTACTAAATTGGACAGAACGTATACACCAGAAGTTCAGCAGTGAACGGAAGATCAAATCAATTTAGAATTGGATGAAACTTGGTGTGCAGATAGATCTTTGAGTCAGCTTTACAATGAAATTTGAATAATCTCAATTGGAGTGTGAGGAGGAAGATACACTGGATTTACCGAAGACATGTCAAGCTGCCTCAGAAACGAAGCAAGTGCAGAATCGACCAAAATACCGGGCCACCTCGTGGACCGATATTTTAGGCCAATTTCAGCACAAATAAAGGCACTTTGGGCCCAATACCGGTTGTGTTACTTGGCCGACATTGCCAAACCGACTTTGGGAGAGTTTTGACGTAAAAAGACCGATTTGTCCTAAAGAAGACCCTAGAAGAACCTAAGCCTATATATACTTGTTTTTAGCCTTTTGTTAGGGATATGCNNAAATATTAAGAGTNNTTTTATCATAGGAGCANCCACCACGAGTTCTCTTGGTGTTCTTCATTAGATTTGGATTCTAGAGCAATCCGGTGGATGATCTCGCTTTGTACTTCGATA